CTAAATTTTGGTTTCTATCACCAACCCCTATTTTTTATAATAAGTAAGTTACTTTTGTTCACACTAAAATTCTATCTAGAAACTTGAAATAATTTATATGGCAAAACAACGTTTGCCCGGTTAACTAATAGTATATATAAAATTTGTGTCGCTATGTTTGTTTCCATACGCTCCGAAACGTTTTTACTGATTTTACTAAATTTTATATGCGTATTCAGTAGGTCTGAGAATCGGCTAACATCTATTTTTTCATACCCCTAAGATAAGTGTAGGGTTGTTCATAACTTTTTTTAAATTTTTTGACAAATTTTTGTTTTTATTTTTTATAATGTAGAATTAAAAATACATACAACCCTAAATTTTTAGTTTTTTATCACCAACCCTATTTCTTTATATAGACATTTTAGTAATTTAATCATTTTTCATCCCGTCTAGAAAATTTTTATATGCGTATTCAGTAGTCTGAGAATCGGTAACTTCATATCTCTAAGTGATAAAGGTTGTTCACCCTTAATTTTTTTTAAATTTTGCAGAAATTTTTGTTTTATTTTTAATGTGGCATTAAAATATACATACAACCCTAAATTTTGGTTTCTATCACCAACCCCTATTTTTTATATTAAGTAAGTTACTTTTTGTCTACACTAAAATTTAGCTAGAAACTAGAAATAATTTATATGGCAAAACAACGTTTGCCCGGTTAACTAGTATATATGAGCCGCTTATTTTGAAAAGTGGCCTATAACTCCATTTATCTTCAAATCGAGATATTGAAAGTTTTGCGTTTCAATGAATTTAAAAAATATAGGTATAAGATACTAAGGAGTCATACCTGCTTGCTGCATCTATGATGTTAAATTTAAGTTCCTGTTAAAATAGTGGCAATTATTAAGTAAATAACGCGTTTCTTATCAAGAATGGAGTTGGGCCACTTTCAAAATTAACAGCCAGATTCATTATAAAATTCGGAGGGTGCCCAAGTCCATTCAACATAATTTAAGATGTTACAAATTGAAAAACAAAACGTCTTCGTTTCACAGACAGCTTGCGGAAGTAATACATTTTGTTTGTTATTATAGTCTGCCAAACCCCAAAACTTCTCAAAATATTCTTTCTTCTTCTTCTTCATTATAATTTTTGTGCACGTGCATTCCGACAACCACAATCTTTTGTTTACGAAATTTTTTCTTGAACAATACTTCCGGTTTGACTGCAACATTTTTCCTGAATTCTGCTTAATCTTTTCGCACTTTTTAGATATAAGGTGCATCACTCTTTTCTCCATTGTTATTTGAATCTTCATCCTCTGACGAGGAATATTGTTCTATAATTTTTCTTATTCGCTTTTTTAAATTATTACTACTATTTCTTCTTCACTATTTGAAGTAAGTGGTCTTCTCTGTTCTTCCTCATGGTGCAATAATTTCTATAATTTAATAATTAAATTTTAAGTTTTATATTAATTAAACGTACAGGTTACTCACAACTCAACGCAATTGTCCCAATAATAAGGTGAACTCTAGTCATCTAATTAATTGAAATTACCTTCATCGCTGCTTTCCGACACATCAATAGTAAATATCTTGATGTAACTATAAATGGAGTTAGGCCACTCTCAAACTGCACGCCTCAGTTATTCAATTAATTCGGAAAACTATGTGTAAAAAAATGTGTACCGTATTTTCTCTGAATACAAATCTGGAAGTGCGTCACTGATAAATAACATGAAGCTGTACATGTAAATCCATGGTAACCGGCAAAAATTTGGAAAAACGGAGTTAGGTCACTTCAAAATAAACGGCTCATATATAGATATTTGCTGGTTGGATCTTTATTTAGTATAGTGTAATTGTTTTGATTAAGGAATGCTTTGTTTGTGTATGGGCCTGCCTGATTTATTATTACTAAGTTTTTAGTTTTGTCTGCTATTGTTATTATTGCATTTATTTTTAATAGTTTTTGTTTTATTCTGTTAATGGTTTTGTTTATGTGTTGTGTTTACATTTTGTGTTGTTATTGGTTTTGTGAATTATTTTGTTAATTTCTCTTACTGTGTTGTGTCGTGTTTCTTTCTGTTCTTATGTTGGTAGTTGTAGGATGGTTTTCTCTGCGTCTTCTAAGTGATGGTGGTTTTGATTTTTGATTGTAGAGTGGTTGGGGGAGTTGAATTGGTCCTTTGTTCAGTAGTATGTCCTCTCTTCTTTCGTTGGGAATATTATTATTTTTGTTAGGTTGTGGTATTTTATATTGTCTTTTATTATTTGTTGATTATTTGGTTGTTCTTTGAGTTGTTCTTTAGTTAATTTATTTATTTTCTTTATTTGTATTTTGTATTTCACTGTGATTATTTTATTTATTTCACTTATGATGTTTTGTTGGTAACTATATAGTAGTTGCGATGGTATTATTTGGTTTATTTGATAGTGTAGTTCATATGTTTTTTGTATTAGTTGTTCTTTTTTAGTATACAGTTTCTTAAGTTCTGCTTTTATTATTTGTTGTTGTAGTTTAATTTTAAGTTTTGTTGTTATTGTATTGTTTTTGATCGTTGCGTATTTCGGGCAAATTCGTTTTTTGATGCACTTTTTATTAAATTTTATGTTTGCTATTGTTTTGTGTAGGTCTCTTGGGTATATATATTTGTTAATTATTCTTTATCCTCACTGATATAATAAATTTATTACTTTCTTTGCGAATACGTAATCTATTGTATATTTGAAATAATTATTTATAAATTTTATGCGAATATATTTACAATTTTATATGTTGAGTTAACATACATACTAACATACCTACTATACCTAAATATACCTAACATAACTACTACAAAGTCAGTTTATATGAAGATGCCTCCCCTTGTATGTGAAGCATGCTAACTCAACATATAAAAACTGTAAATCTTATATTTACGTAAATCAGTGTTTAAGCTCAAAAACGTGTTGTTTTGCTTATACACAATTTTCACATTTTTAGATTGTTGATATCGTTCAAATAGAAGCAATATTATTAAAACACGAATAATAAAAATTTCGTCGTTTTATGTTGTTTTACGCGTTAAACGCAGATTAAGCTCAAAATGTGCTGTTTTTGCTATAATAATACCTTTCAAGCATTTTAAATCGTTGAAATCGTTCAAATAGAAGCAATATTATTAAAAAACGGATAATAAACATTTCTATCGTTTTTAAAGTTGTTTTACGCGATACAACGCGTGATTTAAGCTCAAAACGTGCTGTTTTGCAATAATAATAATTTTCAAGCATTTTAAATCGTTGAAATCGTTCAAATACAATTTTATTAAAAACAATCAATAAAAAATTTTGTCGTTTTTATGCTCTTTTGCGGGTTAAAAGGCAGATTTAAGCTCAAAATGTGCTGTTATGCTATAATAATAATTTTCAAGCATTTTAGATTGTTGATATCGTTCAAATAGAAGCAATATTATTAAAACACGAATAATAAAAATTTCGTCGTTTTTATGCTGTTTTACGCGTTAAAACGCAGATTTAAGCTCAAAACGTGCTGTTTTGCTATAATAATTATTTTCAAGCATTATAGATCGTTGAAATCGTTCAAATAGAAGCAATTTTATTAAAAAACGAATAATAAAAATTCGTCGTTTTTATGCTGTTTTACGCGTTAAAACGCAGATTTAAGCTCAAAAACATGCTGTTTCATATAATAATAATTTTCAAGCATTATAGATCGCTGAAATCGTTCAAATAGAAGCAATATTATTAAAAAACGAATAATAAAAAATTCGTCGTTCTTATGCTGTTTTACGCGTTAAAACGCAGATTTAAGCTCAAAACATGCTGTTTTGCTATAATAATCATTTTCAAGCATTTTAGATCGTTGAAATCGTTCAAATAGAAGCAATATTATTAAAAAACGAATAATAAAAATTCGTCGTTCTTATGCTGTTTTACGCGTTAAAACGCAGATTTAAGCTCAAAACATGCTGTTTTGCTATAATAATCATTTTCAAGCATTTTAGATCGTTGAAATCGTTCAAATAGAAGCAATATTATTAAAAAAACGCATAATAAAATATTCGTCGTTCTTATGCTGTTTACGCGTTAAAACGCAGATTTATGAAAAAGTATTCTGAGCAGCACCCGAAGTGCTATAGTGTCGAACGAACGCAAATTGCAATTTGGAGTGGCCAACGGAGTGTCTTTTGGAGGGTTCGGGCTGCCTCTAATTTTTCGAGAGCAGCTTGAGGGTGCCGATAGCTTTCGTAACATGTTATACGCATGCGCTGCTCTCTTGGCGCGGGTGAAACTGCCTACCGCAGCTCTTTCATTCTCACTCGCACCCGCACCGTGGTAAAGTGGAATATTTTGACGAGCCGTGCTCAGCAGATGTGAAAAAGATGAAGATGATATGGAATTGTAATGCGTATCGAGTGTATCTGTATTTTTCAAATGCAAATATCCACGTTTTCGCTAAAAAATTTCAAATTTAAAAAAACTCGTAAAACCAATAAATTTGAGATGAATATTTTGTCAATTTTCACAAGTATTTGCTGATAATGAGCCAAATACGTAGCATATAAAAGATTATTTATATTTTTTGATTGTGTTTCTTCAACAATTTAAAAATCAAAGCAATGAACAATAACAACTTTTGATTACGACTTTTCAAACGTCAGTATAGAACCAAATAGCCAATAAGTATTAATACATATTTGTTGCATATTTGGATAATTAAAGAACCTATAGATTAAAACCAAGCGCTTGTCAAATTTATCGTGCAACGGGGTTGACTTTAGTAAAGTTACAGATGAGCGCACAGAATACCACTTAAGGCCGATCCACAACTTCGCCGTACGAAGCGTCTTGGAGCTTTCGTACGTTCGTTTGTTAAGTGGTGAACACGAATTGGTTTTACGAGTTTTTTTTTTTTAATTTGAAATTTTTGCTTGAAAACGTGGAATTTTGCATTTGAAAAATACAGATACACTCGATGCGTGCAATTCCTTGTCATCTCCATCTTTTTCACATCTGCTGAGCACACGGCTCGTCAAAATATTCCACTTTACCAATTTCGATGAAGAGGCAGACTGAGACAGCAGACGACCGAGTGCGGTTGCGAGTGTGAACGAAGAGCTGAGTATTCAATCTCCTTCAACAAAAGCGACATTTCTCCCAATTCATAAACAACCCATGTTCTGTAGCTAATTTGATAACCATCACTAACCGATCCAATGCTTCCTTCAAACTCTTTGCTAGGATAATAATATCATCCATGTAAAGAATAAGAACACCCTTGTCTATAAAGTCTTTAAAATCCTTCATCAAACCGTCTACTTCACTATTCTCAGACGTTGCTAATCTTCGCGGTCGTCTTACTACTGGTTTATCATTCTTTAACTCTATTTTCGCGGCTATTCCTACATCTCGCGTCTTTTCCGGCTTGTCATCTTTGATAATATCGCGGATCTCTTCCCGATAATGCGGTTCTTCTACGTGCGACAAATCTAATTCAGCGGTCTGCTCAACAGTATTTATATGAAAAATATCTGGTGCGTCTTCACGACTGTTCGTCTGCTCTTCAAGTCGTACAAAGGTTATCTCTCCCCGTTTCACTCGCAACTCTACTTGATCCAAGAAATCAGTACCCAACAATAAGCTATGTTTCGACATGACTTTATTTGACACGACATGCAAAATTACTTTAAACTCGTGCCCATCGACATTCATGACTTTCTCAAATTCACCCCAAGTTTCATTGCCAGTGGAACCAAACCCTTCGAACTGAAGCTTACGACTACCTAGAGGTGGTGATCCTAACTTAGCATATTCGTCTGATCTAATAAAGGTAAGATCACTACCTGTATCGACTAATGAAATAAACTTACAGTCCTCTATCGACACTTCCTTCATATACTTCTTCTTCTCCGGTCTTGACACAACGTATGTTTCCTTTATTGCTTCTTTCTTCTTTTCTCCGCAGTCTGCTGCAAAGTGTCCAAACCCGTTGCACTGGAAGCACTTTACACCTTTGTCTCTTTCCGGACACCTAACACTTAAATGTCCGTCACTACCACAATTAAAACACCGTCGTTTTTCCCCACCTGTTCTTCTAGGCTGACTTTGCTCTTCACCTTTTTTCCTATCATCCTTCCGTTCGGCTGTTTTCGGCTTCGCTTCCATTTCCCTCTTCATCGATTCGTACTGTTTAAACCGATCTTTGAGTTGCTGAAGATTCCTTGCCCCATATAGCACAGCTTTCGTGGTCACCTCGTCTGGTATTCCTTGTATTATATAATCAATCAGTGATTGAGTGTCAACTTTCCCCTGTGCTGCAATCTCTCGCATTTTGTACATGTACTGTTGAAGCGTTTCATCCTGTTTCTTCTTTCTCTGCGTTAATTCTCTGTGAATTTGTTGATCCGTCACTATATCACCAAATTCCTCTGTGAGGGCTTTTTTGAATTTCGCCCACGTCTTACTACCTCTTTCTTGGCGCATGAATGCCAACGCTGAACCTGTTAGCAATTTCTTGCCAAACGCAACTTTGTGAACGTCATTCCATCCACACACTTCCGCCATTTCTTCAAAATCTTCAATCCATCGGCTTATACTCAGCAGGTCATCTCCACTGAATCTATCTAATGAATCCTCAACGTCTTTGAGCAATAATAGGGTACGGCTAGGCTCTGCTCGTCTTCGGTTTCGTCTTATATCGGGAGTTCCACGGTTTGTTTCGTCTTCTTCGTCGTCATCTTCGTCGTCATCTTGGGCGATTGCCCTTTGGCTTCCAACGATTTCGTCTTCATCGTCTTCAGCTTCGTCGTCATCCAATTCTTCGTCGTCGTCGTCGTGTGCACCATGTTCCCGTTCTAACTTCAATGCTGCCATCAACCGATCGAGAAGTTCCCTCTTTCTGCCAGCTAACCTGAGACGTCGTCTTCGGAGTTCGTCTTTTATCTCAGGTACGGTCATCAGGGCCACTTGCTCATCAGTTAAAACTTCTGCGTTGTCTGCCATTTCTTTAATTACTGTCACTTACTTAAAAACTGTTTTTTATAGCACTAGATCCCGGACTGAGCCCCCAAAATGTAAAATCGGATTTAATACTAATGTAAAAAACAGGGAGTAAGCTAAACCAATTTATTCAATTGACACAAAATATTTTGTTGTGTGCTGCCAAGCGGGATGATGTTGCCTAATTTTATTATTAGGATGATATTTATTAAGGCAGAGCTTATGATTGAACTTATGTTGTGTACTGGCGTGAAGATTTACAATTTGATGGCTTATATATACCTTCCTACACAAAGACAGTTTCATTAGGGCGTGCAAGAATTCCTAGACTAAACATAAACAAAAGTTCTTAGACTAAACATAAGATAAAGGTTCTTAGACTAAACATAAGATAAGACTAAGTAAAAATATAATTAAATACAAGAAAATTAATGAAGTTACTTCGGGTCATAACAATTTAAAGAAATAACAAAACACGTCTTCACTAGTCGTACGCCAAAAATTATTCTGCCCTTAGGTCAGAAAAGTGACCTTCAAGTCTCGCAACCATTCTTCCCACTTCTTTGCTCTCATATTTTACAATCTTACAAACGTCCTCCCTCACACTCGGTACATCTCTAAAACTATGCTTTATGCTAACAAGTATACTTAATATTAGACTACGCATTAGTATTGGCCTATACTCATTTCCGATACTACATGAATTTATTTAATTATTATTTAAATTACAAGTATAATTTATTTTTGGCGTGCAAAATAGTATATTAAGTAACAAGTGGCTAAACGAGGGCATTACAGACAAGAATTGATTGGGAGCGAGCGTAGCAAGCGGTCAATCAATCGAGTCTTTAACAACGTTTAGCCACGAGGTGATTACGCTATTTTTTCTACTTCCACTCTTGTTCCATGTTGCGGTTTTTGTATTTCAACTCATGTATTTTAAATCATGGAAATTTACTCACACACTTAAACTTTAAGGTTATACCTAAGTGCAATGCCGCGCGCCGGCCCATGTGACGCTTAGGGCCAGCGTCTGATTTGACGTGTTTGACTGACGTCGCATGGCATTTCATACCGTATTGGGCTGCTACGTAGGCAAATACGCATTATAACCTTACAGTTTGTAGTAGTGTGCGAGCAAATTTCGATGATTTAAAATACAAAAGTTGAAATACAAAACCGCAACGTGGAACTAGAGTGGAAGTAGACAATATAGCCTAAGCACCTCGTGGCTAAAACTTGTTAAAGACTCGATTGATCGACCGCTCGCTACGCTCGCTCTCAATCAATTCTCGTTTGTAATGTCCTCGTTTAGCCACTTGTTACTTAATATACTATTAGAGCCCGATAAAAATTGTATTTGGGGTGTATTTTATTATAATGCAAAGTCCATCACCTTGTCAAGCTGAGACATCTCTTCTGCTGAGAACTGCACCGTTTCCACGTTGAAGTAATTAAAATCGGGTGACCCAGTCGGCTTCGCAATCATGCCATCAACCCGAAGTAATTCTGTAATTCACCAACAGAAGGAGTATGCGTAGTTGCAGTAGGAGCATCACCCGTAAAATTTCCGAGGATACGGTTCCGTCCTCCGCCAATGCCTCAAATGTTTAAGAGATCCCGCAGCACTGATTCCATTCTAGATTATACGTTGAATGGCCAAGTTTTGTCGTGGCTGGGTCCATCCGAGACATTTTGTTGCATTATCAGCAGTTGTAGTTGGCCCTTCTCCGGTTGCATGTGTCATCGACTAGAAGAAAATCAATTGAGTTTTCTAATGTACGGTGTCTAATAAATATAGCAAGTGAACTTTCTTCAAGTTTCCACTCCGGTTCAAATAAACCGTTTTCGATGAGGTAATCTAGTGATTTTTTGCTCGTTGACCAGCTGCATGGCAATGCAAACTCGACCCTATCTTCCCTATCTTCTTAAACAACAAGAACAAACTTGGCCCTTAATAGTTCTAGAAGGAAGCCACCATTGCACTGTCGCATTAGTCTGATGATACACAGAGATCCGGTTCGGTATATGAAACGAAATTGAAAGAAATTAAGACTGTATTACAATCAACTCACATTTAATTACACTTTCAAGAGTTTCAAAATATTACCAATTATTCTGGTTGATATTTTTATTAGAGTCTGACCGAAACTGGATTTTAGCCGAAACCGAAATTTCGGCCCTGCAATCAGTTTCGGCCGAAACCGAAACCGAAACTAATTTACATAAACATATTTTTCTACTTCTACCTACACAGCGCCAGTTTTTCCACGTTTTTTAGATACAAAATCCATCTCGTGAGTAAAGTTCCGTTTAGTCACTTGATACTTAATATAATATTTATTTAAGTTTCTTCGTACGAACTGAGATGGCAAGTAACGGCCGCCATTAGCCGTGAAGTTAGCCGAGCGACGCACGACAATTCACGAAAAGTGAGTTTAGGTGCGACCGAAAGTTTCGGCCAATTTTTGGCCGAAACCGAAACTGAAGCCGAAACTAGAATTCTTGGCCGAACCCGAAACCGAAATTTCGGTCGGTCTCTAATTTTTATGTTGTTGATTAGGTTCGGTTAGGCAAGCAGCACTTACAATCCGGGGTGCAAGTGGCCATCCGATCTAAAGAAGCAAGAACTTTATCATTTACTGCCTCGTCGTACCCTTCCCTTCTCGCAAAGAATATTGATTGAGTATGGCATTTCGTATTCACTCTATTTCTTCTCTACCTGCTCCCTAACAGCATTAATTGGGTTTATTTCTATGATAGGTTGTTGCGGGATTCTTCTTAGTTCAGGAATTTGCAGGCTTAAGACCGGTCTCCCAAGTTTGGAGGTGGAGATGCTCGTATTATTGCATTGCAAGTTTCTATCGGGAGTTTCACTGGATGCATTTCGTTAGTGAAGGAGTTCCCAGTGTCCAGTGCCGTCATCTTCTTCGACGGTGGTAGTTGGTCCTGTACCATCAGTAGCCGCACCGATACGTGTGTTCGGGTTCGAAGCGTTCATGCGATGGCGAATTCTTTCTAACACAGTACGATTTGCAGCTTGAGGTAGGTCAGAATTGCAGGGCTCGGCAGAGGGTGCTGGTCGACGTGGGTTCGCTGATGAGGTTGTCGATGATGGATTCTTCGGAATAGGTAAAAGTAATTATAGTGAGGTACAGGTCCAATCTGTATCCAAGCGGGTTGAGATACATTGAGTAACAATTGGTATAGAGCGGTAGTCTATTGGTGGTCTAGGTAGACGTGATACCATCTTTGTTTGTGATGTACGAGATTGGACCATCATTGAGGATTGTACTGGTGGTGGAGTACTAGTTTTACCGATCATTGCAGATGGGGTTTGCTGCGTTGTGCGGGGTTCACCCATCCTTAACGGAAGTCTTTGTTGCTGTTGGTGTGAACGTGAATGAATCATCGTTATAGACTGTGTTTAGTGTAGTGTACCAGTCCGACCAAACATTGATGGTTGTCCTTGTTGGATTGGACGAGATTGTCTAAGTCTCATAATTGAAAAATGAGTTTGCAGCAATGTTCGGGTTTGGCTCATCATTAATAGATGTCCTGGTTGTGATGGTCTAGATCAAGGCTGGCCAATGGATTTTCCTGGAGGGCAAAATCTTTTAGATTGCGGCGGCACCGGGCCACAGACTATGGCCATTCATAAATAAAATCTTATACATATACAAAAGTTCCAACTTTGGGTTTTGCGGCGGGCAAATGCAAATGTCCTGGCGGGTTTGGGATTGGCCAGCCATGGTCTAGATCATCCAGATGGTGTCATAAGCGATGATGGTGTTTGTTGTTGTGTACGGTTTGGACCCATCTTTGAGGATGGTCTTTTCAGCGCTGGTCGAGCATGAAGATAAATCCTTGCTGTGGTGTATGTGATTGATCCATTATTGAAGATGACAATTGTTGGGATGTGTTAGATAGACTAATGTTTGCTGTTTTTGAAGACGGAGTTTGCTGCGATGTACGTATTTGGTCCATAATTAACGAGAATCTTTGCTGTTGATTGTTTGTCTTCGTTGCGGTGTATGAGATGCTGCCCAGTACCCATTTGACCCATCATTAAAGATGAAGTGTGCTGCGATGTACAGACTGGACCTACTATTGGGGATCGTGTTAGCTGCCCATTACCGATTCGGCCAACGATTAAAGCTAGTGCTTGATGGGATTTACGAATTTGATCCATCGAGCGTGTCTCGGTGTTATCTGAACGAGTATATATTTTTTACATAAAGATTGTAACTAATATTCTTTGTTTTGTCATGGCCTATGCGATTCAAATGATTAAATTAAAAATTTTAATTGCACAATCTTTATTGGCATATTAGTACAGTCATTTGGTGCTAAAAACGTGGTTGCTGGGAAAATAGTGCGGGATTGTTGAAAATTGGTGTTCGTATAGATTTCGATGTGCTCTTTACGAATTTAAACTTTGCCACCTCGTATCTTGTTCGCTCGCGCCATCATCTTGGAAAAATAGTGTCTAAGAACAGTTTTTGACCATATCTCCTTTCCGACCCATTTTACGATAAACGTATTTATATAATAAATTAAACTAGAGAAAATTTCCTATAATTTATGTAAGTACCTTTTTCTTGTAAAATTAGTAGTTTTAGCGTTCGGGCGCCGCAAAGTCTACTTCAACATTCGTTTTGTCAAAAACTCATTTCCACGTCATCATGACTTTGCAATTTTTGCTTGCTATGATTTGAGGGTGTCCCTGCCCCTCGCTTGTTTGAAAGTCATGCCGGCCGAGTTTACTTTTGTTTTATTATTTCTTCATTGAGTCATTATTTGATATTTATCGTTCTGAATAGTCGTGTTGTTTGCAGTTTTGAAGCCATGGTTGATAACGTAAATTGTTTTATTTGTAAAACTCCATTGCAAGATAGTGAAGTGATTGAAGTGAAAGAGAAAGGATTGGAGACCTTTCGTAAGTCAAGCATTAAAAGAAAGGATAATAAGGGTATACTTTTAGAGGGATTGAGATCGGTAGTTGTTCACGAGTAATGTCGGAAACGATATAATAAGAGAAATTAATCATTGCGTTTAAAAAGGAAGTGTTGTCTCGACTTTACAACCACAACTGCGATCCACGTGCCCAATATTCTCATTTAAAGATCATTGTTTTTGTACGCTGCTGAAATAACAGCAGAAGCGTACATAAACTATCGATGAAAAACCCTATTTCAGAACGTCCTAGAGCATGTAATGATGATTGAGGTAGAGCGATTGTTGAATGTCTCGAGCGTGTTTATGATTTGGTCACAGGCAATGCACAGTATCACAATTCGTGCATGTTATCGGCGAAGATGTAGATCTTCTTATTATTTTAACGGCACTATTAATGTGTTCAAACATATATTTGGTAAAACCAGAAAAGAAAAAATTTGCAACAAATCTATTCAACCAAAAGCATGATCGATCAAACAGCGGCTGATAACATATTATTCTTACACGCTTTTTATGGTGCGATTCTGTGTTCACCACGTAACGAACGAAGTTATGCTTCGGCCTTCAGTGGTATTCTGTGTGCTCATCTGTAACTTTACCTAAAGTCAACCCCGCTGCACGATAGAATTTAACAGAAAGCGCGCGAGTTTCAAATCTATGGGTTCTTCAATTATCCAAATATGCATCAATTACACAGGACAACAAAATAAAACTTTTTTTGTTGCATGAAGTTTTTCTACTGCTGTTTATTAATTTGGGACGCATTTATTTCTTTGTGACGAACGGTTAAAAATGTTTTGTGAATTTGTGGGACCTTTTCTTGAATGTTTTGAAAATTAGAAAGTTGTAGTTATAATGCGAGAAGTATATTGTTCATAGTAATATAGTTCAATTCATGAGTAGTGATAGAACCAAAAGAATAAAACTGATGGAAATTCCGCCAAAACAACGCGTCATCATTTTCACATCTGCTGAGCACACGGCTCGTCAAAATGTTCCACTTTACCAATTTTACGATGAATAGGCAGACTGAGACAGCAGACAGCGAGTGCGGGTGCAAGTGAGAACGAGCTGCAGTGGGCGGTTTCACCCGCGTCAAGAGTGCAGCGCATGCGTACAACTTGTTACGAAGGCTATCGGCACCTCAAGCTGCTCTCGAAAAATTGAGGCGACGAACCCTCAAAGAGCCTCCGTTGGCCTCAGAATCGCACTCAGAGATGCGACCGTTCGACAGTACGGCACTTCGGGTGCTGCTCAGAAAAGCACCATTAAATTATACAGTTACAGTGATGAAAACTATGCAAAATGTCTTCAAACATCTATAGATATACCAGCTTCACAAAATCAGCATACAAAAATAAATTTAATATTACATCGCTATCACCAACAGAAGCCGCAATACGGCAGCATTCGTTCAGAACTTATCACTAAGTTAAGCAGTAGTATGGGAATGAATTAAATGCAGTACAATGGAGATGGAAAAGAAGCAAGAATGGAGTAATTCCTGTCACCACACTTGAGACCCCAGCTCTCAAAACATTGTTAATACTAATATCTTGCAAATGCAAAAAGGGATGTCAAGCCTGCGGCTGCCGAAGGCTGAATGAAGTGCTCCGTTAATGAACAAATTGCAGTGGTACCTGTGATAATTTGCAAGTTCCATCACAAAATAGCGATGAAGAGGAAGAAACGATTGCCGTTTTTGAGAACACGTACGATGAACTCGGAGAACCAAGATTGCATTGAAAACGATAATCCCATCGCGGATAATATTGAACAATTAACGCAGAACACTTGGTCTGTGCGAAGAGCGTATCGGAAGACAATCCATTAAATTTTGGAATAGTGCGTGTGGATTAGGCCTACTGGGGATACCGCGATAAAAACAAAGGCGCCACGTACTCTACCTCATGGTGGTGTGGAAATGAGTTTTTGGCAAAAACTAATGTTGAAGTAAACTTTGCGGCGCCCGTACGCTAAATCTATTATTTTTACAAGAAAAGGGTACTTACATAAATTATAGGAAATTTTCTCTAGTTTAATTTATTATATAGATATGTTTATCGTAAAATGAGTCGGAAAGGAGATATGGTCAAAAACTGTTCTTTGACACCATTTTTCCAAGATGGTGGCGCGAGCGAAAAAGATACGAGGTGGCAAAGTTAAAATTCGTAAAGAGCACATCGAAATCTATACGAATACCAATTTTCAACAATCCCGCACTATTTGCTAGGCAAAAGTACCAAATGACTGGACTATATTGTCGGAATCGTCATAGCAATAAACAAAATAATAAAGAAAGTGGCAATACTTTGAATCCATGGACGGGCAGAAAGGTATAAACATGCAAAATTGCGTGAAAATCTATGTAATCTCGTTTAATTCCTTAGATCCCAACAAGGTCACAGCAGGTGTTCATACCTGGACCACTAATAATTCGCCCGTTTATTTTAATTAAACCCTAATTTAAATACTTTTCTTCATTGCCGAGCAAATTTGAGCCGGCGTAATTTACTTAATTTAATTAACACAAAATTAATCAAGCATTAAAATTTCAAATTGAAATTAAACGCAGCGCGCAGAAGCCGCACACCTGATTATTTATTCATACAAGAACAACGCATGTTCTTGGAGGCAATTTCGGAATCGTAGTCCGATTAATTACAATTGACCGATTGTAAATGCCGGCAATAGTGATCTTTAGCGAGCTAGTGTGCTAAACACATTCTTCTAATATCGTATTTAATACTGGTAAGTGCTGCCGTCCCTGTCCTGCCGCGAATACCCGGCATTGGTTTGCGGCGAGTGGTGCGAAGAATGCATGAGCTTCACGCAGTTCCGGTTGCGACGCTCCTTGAGCCCGGTGACGTATAGCTCGTGATAACCATCGTAGCGGCCATACTGGTCAGTCGGATATCTCCACTTCTCCATCGTGCTTTGGTGACCGGCTGAGTTGTATGGACCGTAGCGATTATGCGCGGCTTCCTCCTGCTCAACCCGCCTATTAGCACTGCCAATCGGGTCGGAAGGTTTCGGTACATCCAAGATATTACGCAGACGCCGGCGGTCATCCTCACCGAAAGTAACGCGCTGCAGGATCACATCAATCGGGTCGCAGAAGTAGCCGCTGCTCTGATTATAGTCCGCTTCTAGCGTAATGTCCAATGCGTCCGTCGGACTCAATCCGCTGCGCAGGTCACCAGGTCAACAGGGAAATTAAATTATACAACTGCGCAATTAGAATTTCGATGGGGCACACTCACACCAACGGTTTGAAGTGAACGTAACGACGTGCGCTTGCCAATGTGTGATGGACATGGAGACGCTCAAAAGGTGTCATCCCCGATGCCAGTCCGGCGACCCAGTAGGGTTGCATGGTGCCGGTAGCGGTTCTACGAACGTACCCTCCTTCTCAAGCGTTGGCGTAGGTCCATAGTTGCGCAAACCAGTGTCAGGCATCTTCACAATTTCGAGTAAACTTGAAAATATTGAATTTTGTGCGGACACAGGCACTAAAGAAACGTACAGCCAAATGTAGAACCAAACATTGACATTCCGAACATAAAAAACAATGTTCGGTGGCGTTGGCACCATGGCAATAGGTTGTTTGATCGATTTTGAATCTGTTTCGAATAAAGTGAGCCACGAGTCTAACGCTGAATCTTCCGAATCAGCTCCAAAGCATCGCCATGCCGCCAACAGGTGCCATCAAAGTCTACGACGAGGAATTCAATCAACAACTTCAGTTAGCCCGCACTCTCATTGGGCAATTGCCTCGAAAACACGGTAAAACAAGCATGACATTCTAACCATAAAAATATCTTCAGGTCTCCTTCCTTGCATGGTATTTTAATGAAACATTTCTATATTTAAGTTAACATAGGATATTTATATCGATATATCACACTCTAACGTATTTATAACCAGTCAGCTATAGACGTAAAGCGCGCTATAAAAAATCAAACTAACTAAACGAAACAATCCGTTGGGAGAGTCTAAAACACCTCTAGACTGGCAAGGACTATGTTGTTGCACCGTTTAACTGTATGATTTAACAGACCGGGAGATTGCCACCAAGTGGATCAGCAAGCTTTGCTCCATGCAATCGCAAGAAGTTACCGTCAAACGCAACCGCAACCAGTTCTTCAAGTATATGCTAACCGTCCTCCATCGCGGCATCCATGACCGTCCGGAGCACTACGGCTATCCACAGTACTCCACCAAGGTGACTATCGCCGCCAATCCCCTTACTTGACTATTTTATCTGTGAATACAACAATACCAAATTACAAATCGTTACAGCATGGTGCCACTGGCAAAACGACGTGGGTAAGAACTACATGAGCAGGTGGTCGGCGGATAAGCGGACGTACGTGGCGGTGAAGCCGTTGCCAGGTCGTGGCACACTTGTGTACATGGCGGTATCCAGCCAGCCCGAGCTCGGTTGGGAGCTACACGACTAAATTAACAGTTATACCTTAAATTTTTGTATATACAATGCAGCGTTCAAACACATGGTGGCTCCTAGCGACGTTTACGGCCCTTGTTGCCGGGTCCTTTATGCAATCCCTTGCGGCTCTTCGGTTTCTTGGCATTCTTTGCGTTGCCTTTACCTTGCCACTACGGCCAGCTTTCGGCCGTCCGCTGTGATTTTCCTCCGACCGACTGTTGAACAAAATATTAAATATTAACTTGTTGGCACATTTTATTATTCACTTACTCTATTTGCTCTTTATTTAATTGTATTGCTACAGCTTTCTCAATGTGTATTTTCGGCTTCTTGTTGAGCACCGAATCAATTAGGTTAAGACTTTCTTGCTTCTCGGCATCGCCCGATATCGGTGGCAACTTCCGTTTTCTACTCCCACCCGGCACTAACGTGTGCACGTTGGTTGCTTCCTTCTCTTTTGGTAGTTTATTTTGGAATTTACCTACGCTTGCGGTGGATGATTTCGCTACTGTTACAGCTGTCTGTAACTGTTAACAAATACAGAATATTAGTAAGAATCTTAGCGTAAGACGAGGCTGTTATCATAACATGCATGTGCACAGTATTATGCCTTCAACAACTGAATATAATTTATAAAAATAATTTATCACTGATGAAAGCATGCATTACAAATGGCAGATATTTAAAGATATTTAATTAATAAATAACTTACTTCTTTGCAGATGAAACATCAGGATTCAATAATCCTGTTTTTGGCACTTTGATATTCTTTGCCTTTGCAATGTTCCGCAATCTTTGCAGCTCATTCTTTGCCACCTTCTCAGACTTAGCCATTGCTTTCTTGGCAAACTGATCTTCATAGGGATCAGCATTCTGTGGCACCTCCAGCACCCAATCTTTGTCCTTTTCAGCTGCAGCCCTCTTGTATCCATATTTTGGTATCCATTTCTGAAGTTGTTCATCCCATGAAAGCTTAGACTGCTTTGTCTTCTTAATGCCCTTGTCCAAAGCAAACTGTTGCCACTTTGTGAGTGGTTTGGGAGTAGGCACTGGCTTGGCCCTAGGTAATGCATAGTTAGAAAGTGGCAGCTTAGCAATGATTGCCTCATCAACGCGCTCGGTCGGCAGCTCCCAAATTTTATTAATTAGCAATTGTGTATTGTCGCGTGTTAAATCTCTAAGAAAATCCTCTTTTCCTCGGCTAAAATAAATATTAAAAAGCACGTAAGTTAATTGTAGGCGGCGAGGTTATACATTGAGAGCATGCACTTACCGTAGTAACGTGTAGTCCAGATCGTTGGGGTCGGCCGCCATCAGCCGGCCCACGTCGTAATCTAGTTCGAGGTGCTTCTTCACGTAGATACTCTTGTAACCTTCCGCGGCCTCGTTGGCGCTTTCCAATAATTGTAACACATTCATCTTGAATGCAGGGTGATACCACAGAACGCACACGAAATTAATCTAACCTGTACGTTGTGTTTACAACACGTGCGGGCGAAAGAAGCTAACTATTGGCATTCTTAGGGAATTAAGAATGTAACCAAAATCACCATCTTCTTTGCGCATGCGTATAATTATCAACAACCTACAGCGCCCCTACAATATTTACTACACTTTTCAACTACGCTTCAACTACGAATTCGTTTCTTATCAATGCCCGCTGTAACGCAGTGGACACGCACTTTTAAGTCTTCTGCATTTCCTGTCCACTGTTTTATTGTTATTGGACCAAATAATATATGAAATACCAAAGATGCCTAAAATGATCCGATCCAAACCGTCAAAAGCAAGCAGCAACGACAGTGATTCTGGCCCGGACGACGTAAGTTGAAATTTGAGAATTTTGTTAACCGGCATAAGTTTCCCACCCTAACATTCAAAACTCGCATGCTATCCTCCACAATTTTTATTTTTACAGCCTCTGCCACAGAAGAAGGCGAAGCGAGCCCCAGCCAAGCGGGAATCAGTGTCGTCGCCTACAGAAGCCGGGGCTCCCGCGGGCGAAGAAAACTCTTGGCCACTCGGGCGCAATCGGTTCGTGAAAATGGTCGAGTTTAAGGGTAGAAACTTTGTCAACATCAGAGAGTATTATTCTGCAGGTGGGGATCTTCGCCCGTCCAAGACGGGCATCATGCTCACCCTAGAGCAATGGGATGCACTGAAGAAATGCGTTCCCGAGGTTGATGAGGCCATCAAGAGGCACGTCTAGGGCGCCTTTGTTAAACATCTCATTTTTGATTGTTCATTTTAGTATATGTATATATATATATATGTATATATTTTTATTATTTTCTAATTTGAATACGTAATCCATGTTTATAAAATGTATTTATTAAATTGTTTTGTGATTTATTTGGATTTTACAATTTGAGTATGTATGAGTTTTACATGTTTCGCCCTGTGGGCATCGTCAGAAACGTTTCAGTTTATTTAGAAACGTTTCAGTTTCTGACGATGCCCACAGGGCGAAACATGTAAAACCCATACAAAATTGTAAAATCCAAATAAATCACAAAACAATTTAATAAATACATTTTTTAATGTATATATTTTTTGATACATCTGTTCTAAATTTAACGATGTAATTACATAAATCAATTTCCATTAGTTTGGAGTTTTTTTGTGACTTGCAATTTCCGAATTCCTAAATTATGATGGATAGAGAATTAAAAAATAAATCGTTCTAATTTGATTCAAGAATTTAATTGTCACTCAATTGTTTTCATATAAAATTTAAAATAATAGTACTGAATTTGTTTTCCTCGTAGAATTGCTGACGATACCCTCGCGGCGAAACATGTTTAACTCTAAACAAAATATAATTTAATCACGTAAAATTTAAATAAATAGAATTCATATAAATTGAGGCAGCCCCAGAAAATTATAAAATGCACATTTCCATTAGATTGTGGTAACTCTTTTGGGAAAAGTAACATTAGAATTCTCCGGAGATTGAGTATCGGTAGGTCCAATCCGCAACTGATATTGATCACTGATAGATAGCGCAATTCTTTTCAGTGGATGTAAAAAATAATCACAAAAGATTTGGGTTGCAATGAAAAAAGTTTGACTATCCAAATATTCAGCGAACTGAGTTATCATTGCAACTTACTCCAGTCTTACTTACTTACTTACTCATTTGTTTATTTTCGGGCGCATTTATCGCATTTATGATTTGCTTATAGTCAGCTTACAGAATTACATAGGGCTACGTTAATTACACACACCTATTTATTTCATGGCCACATAACTAGTTTAGTATATTTTTAATCAAGTTATTGAAGGTCGAAATTTCAAGAAATTCGTGGGTTTTTGTTCAGCCAAATGCATGAAAGACCATGAAAATTGCAACATAAATCATCTGCGCGCTTTTTGAAACTATTTTTATGCATATATAGCAATTTGAAAACGTAGAGAACTCTTTGTTCCGCCACTATGCATTATTAAGCGAGTGATATGAATAAAACTAAAAACAGGACAATATATCAGTAGTAGGTAGTAGGTGTTGTGGCCTAGTCGACGTTGCGACTTCGGTTACACAGACTAGCTGCTCAGTTAATGTTACACACAAGAAATTTGGTAAGATACTGATTTATTATTTCTCTTCGGTCCTATTTAATATGTTTATCTCTAATACGTCATGTACAAGAGTCCAAGTAATGACGTACGAGTACGTCTGCTAATGATGGAAGCCTAAGTACAACCGATTAGCAGAGGCAAATATGATAGAGGAAGAATACATCATTTGGAAACTTAACATGTTGTACGCAAATATAATATATAAATATCTAATCGCTAATTACTCCATTGGTATTGTGGGACAACGGTCGTAACATAGGTAACTTGGCACCTGATTATTTTCCTAATCAGCCCCGGCTGCTGTAGGTTTATAATATAGTGGAACGGTAGGTCTATCCGAGAAAAATCTAAAACATAATAATTTTCGTAAATATTGCCAGTTTTTAAAGTAGAATATCTCGGGTTTTTCATTGTATGCATGGTTACGCCGACTTTACAATCAAATGTTTCAGATTGAATGCAGTAAACAGCATTGTAGGCACTTTTTTCTGACTCAATGATTCAATTATATTCAAATTCTTTAAACCGCAATGCAACTCGTTATACTATAATGCAAGGCTGGCCAATGGATTTTCCTGGAGGGCCAATTTTTTTAGAATGCGGCAGCACCGGGCCACAGACTATGGCCATTCATACATAAAATATTATACATATACAAAAGTTCCAACTTTGGTTTGTGCGGCGGGCAAATTCAAATGTCCTGGCGGGCCACCTCGTGGCCCGCGGGCCTGGGATTGGCCAGCCCTGCTATAATGTATCACTTAAATTGAATTAAATGATTACCTTATCTTCATACCTTACATACATTAAGACATATTTTAGATGTAAACACTAACAATCTTCGACACTACCCCAAATGGTTGTAGTGTATGGTATTTGAAATACTTAAAGTTATGTAGCTTAACACAATATCTACCGATATAAAGTGCTTGTTAAGCGCTTGCTGAATCACAAGTACTGTTATCTGAAACGCTTGTGTGAAGCATATTTTTATATGCACTATTAAGAACAATAATAATAAGAGTAAGAATAAGCAAAAACCTGCTGAGATAACACAATATTAATGCGTTCCGAACACCTTCATCAGTTACGTTATCATTATACTCAGCTGCCCAATACAATTAATTTTTCTTTCTTCTCATAACACTGCTGAGCAAACCAGCGCTTGACAAGAAAAGGTAGGTTGAAGGAGAAATTTAACAATTTAGCATTTTTCCAGAATAGTGCACATTCATATTTCTTTTCTCTTCAAACTTCATGTTTCATTCCCACTTTAATTATTTCTCCCTTCCCTAATTTCTGTATTGGTACTAGTACTTTTATTATTAAATTTATTTAAATTTTTACGTAATTGAATTTAATTTTTGTCAGTAGCTCGGTCGTGTTACATGTTTAACTCAGAGCAAAAATGTAAATGTAAATAAATATAATACAAAATTACGCATTCTACGAAGAAAATAAATACTTTTATTGTACTCGCACGTAAATATACAGTCTACATATAATTTCTAAAATGGGTGTGAAATTACCTAAAATATTTCATGTCATTTTCTTCACACACCCAGAATTATATTAAATTTTAAAGTCTCATCATTGTGAAATTAACGAGAATTACCAATGAAAAGCGAAAAACTACAATAAATATGTAAAGTAAAAAATGCAAAATATTCCTAAAGTGTATATGGTTTTCAAAGGTCGTATTAAAATGGCATAAATCTGAACTTGCATTTAAACGAAATTGTTCACATGTGGATATAGAAATCATTCTTATTATACGCAGACCTTTTTGAATCCGATAGTCTTATATAGTAAATTCTTGATAGATATTCTGAAAATGGGCATTTCGAATACGTAATCCATATTGTTAATTTATATTATTGTAACTGACTTCATGCCCCCTGAGACAAAACATGTCTAACTCAAATAAAATTGTAATTCAATCTACGTTTTGTTCAAATAAATATATACCTATTGTTTCACTTAGGTCAAGTAATTTCCTTAGAGAAATAGAAATATACGTTTAAGACGCCGGTTAATTTGTTTCCTGTGTATATACTTCAATAAATTTAAGTATCATCGGCACCTCAATGCCATCTCGAATCCGATCATATGTAAATATTAGACTCAAAGCATGTTCTTCAATTTTATCATATAAAATGTTGAATAACTTGCTTTCAGTGTCTTTTATACGTATAGATTAGTCGTACACCTCGAAAAGTGATTGATTTATCATTGCATGTTAATCATTAGGATGTCGGATTTGGATCCTTAAAGGTATCTATATATTATTTTCCATGACAACAAGATTTGTAAAATGCTGCAGACAGAACGCACATACCTACCCAAGTAATGGTGGTGAAAACAAGTTTTCTTACGCTGCGTACAATTTTAGGCGCGAATAATCAAAAATATTTAGATACAAATGTATAATATGAAAAACAAACCAAACGCGTCCAAGTTTTGATCCGTTGATTATAAATTCCCTGTTAAAATAATATTCATGTGATACATTATCTGGCAAATGAGAACACAGAATCGCGTGTGGAAATGTTGGCAAACCCAATAACTGTGCCTTTGTCATGAAGGTTGACACTCCTACAAGAGTAATGCGGCGCGTGCTGGAAGCAAAATGTGGGAAGACCTAACCCTCAGCCAGAATTCCAAAAATATCTGCATTAAAAATCTGAGCCCTGAATACAATTTCCCAGCATTACTAAATCTAGCAGCCAAAACCAAGTTATTACCAAAGACTAAAGATAATCCACACTGTTGAAATAATAAATTGTGTCTGACACTAGTCATTGGAGCAATACTCTTCAAAACAGAGTAAGTCATTGCAACCACTCAAAATCAAAATGAATATTCAATGTTTGTTTTGCCATCAATACACATACAGCCTTCCTCACAAATATTTTAAAATCCTAAATCATACAACAATGTTCATGCATGAAATTGAATGCTTGGTATGTACTCCCTGTGAATTCCACTGGCTCATTGAAACTGTTTTATGCCAGCAATAATTACAGTAAATTGAAAATATATTTCAGCATGCATTACCAATGATTCATTGACAATTTTACAAAAATATAACAATTGTGAATCACCTTACTGCTGTATGAATCATTTTAAGAGTCATCATCTTAATCATACAAAGTATACATATTTACTCCAGTCCAATTGTGCTAATGCAACACCTTTTCACACCTAAAATACACAATTAATAGAACCAGGTGTAAGCTTCCATGTAATTTCATAACTACAATGTGATTTGATGCAATTGCTGAAAAATTGCAATTTAATAAATATTAGAATCAAAGTGGAAAGTATGTACGCTGGGAGATGTCTATGATAGTCGGCTCACCATCACAAATGACATTGATGCTGTCAAAAAAGTGACGTGGGTCCTGAGTATCTTTCAAATTTTAAAACTAAATTACATCTATACTAAATTCTATAATTCAGAATTTAAAGTATTTTCAATGTTATTTCAGAGTTTTGAATACTTCCAAAGACTAAAACTAATTTTATTATAATAATGATCTTTTTTAATGTTATAGAGGGCGCCATAAGCATAGTTTCTTGCTTTCGTCGTTTCCCTGGTCACTCTATGATCCCCACTCAACGGTCGTTTGTCGTTTTGTTGAAAACGCGGTATGTGTTAAATACCTTGGTGTTTACCTGGACCGACGG